TAACTCTTCGCAGATACATATCAATTCCGGCTTACGAAGCGAATTGAGATCCATGATCGTCTCGAGCTCTAGCTACAACACATGCTACGTCAAAAATAGTCACACGAAATACAACACCCGCTTTTACTAATTAACCCAGTAGATAAAGCCTGGTGTGTACTCAAAGGGAAAAGCCACACACTCACCCACACGTGCGATCAATGGTCTGCTTGGAGTCCATCCCGTCGCTGCCAACCAGTTGTTGTGTTCGGGAGGGTGACGACCTCAGGCGCGGAACCAAGAATCGGGGCTGTGGCTCGCGGCTAGCATGGCCCCGAGGAAACAGGCCTGGAGTGGGAGTACTGAAGTATAACTTTTATATACAGTGAATATACAAGTAGCATGGTCGACTGGTTAATCGGCAATCGGCAGTCAGCAGTCGGCGACTTCGGGCTCTCTGAGCCCATGCTATATAACCCTCCGAGGGCGAGAAGGCCCTCTAAGAGAGAGGAGCCTTACCCGGTGTTCGAGTGTTCACGAGGTGTCTGAAGTGCGGGTGCGGCTGACGCAATTTCCCGGTGTTCTTTCAGCAAGGGGCAGATGATGTAATCCCTCGACGTTCTTGCCGCGCTCCAGTGGCTGATCTAAGGAGTCGACGTTCTTGTTGAAACCCAACACCGACAGGCCCACACAACACAGGCACGCACACGTACGCCGGTGTTTCTCCTTGCGAGGGCCCGCGATTCCCGATGGTCTCGTGGCTTCAGGAAGACGTTCTTTTTGAGTTTAAAGCCCCCAGCGAAGGCCGTCGCAACAGGAGTCATCGCACCGGTGACGAAGAATGTCACGACGACGTGATTTCACAATTTTCATTTGAGTTGAGGATTAAAGCTAAGGAGGAAGAAGTAAGAAAATCGTTTTATGACCCCTTTAAAGGGGTACGGAAACGAAATTTTTACTTCTATTTTTCCATAGTCTATGTTTGCGGCGGCAGCCCAGAAACACTAGTTTAGACTTGGTTCTGGGCTGCCGGCAGAGAAGTCAAGAAAACTTATTTTAAAACGAATGAACAGAGTTCCAGATTGCGCCTGGTGGCGGTCTGTGAAGCTCCGTTGGAATGCTACCACGTCACATGCCTCTAAAAAGGAGCGCCAGTTCGCGGCAGTATGGCTCTCTCGTGGAGTTACTTAATCCTGAATGTGACTTGGCGGAGTACGCTAACGGGTCTACTACGTTGTATATGTTAACTTCCACAGTGCTTCCGCAATGTGAATTCCTCGCCATCAAGATCGCCTTTGTTTTGCAGACGTTAGGTAGGAGCTTGGTCTGGGAATGCGAGGACATCTGCCAAACAACCATACCTACCCAGTGAATACCTTACATACACAGCTTGCAGGTGTCGCCATTGCTGGGTAGTGACGGTTCTTTCTAGTTAGTGGTTCGATCGAGCGGCGATGTGAAACTAAGACGGTGAACCGAACGCTCGTGTCACATAAAATACAGGCACGAAGCGCGGATGACGTTACGGGCAAGCTATTTATAGGCCATAGGACGTACACTGTCGGATATTACTACTAGGTCAGATGGTTAAGATGCAACCCCACTATGCATGACGCTCTGGTGCTTTTTTGGTGGTTTATAACTTTCTTTCTATGTGTCCTACAATAATAAAGTTAATGTCAAATTAAGAAGCTGTTCTCGGACAATATATTAATGTCTCGATATTACGATTATTCTTAGTTGTTATGTAATTATTCAACTTTTAATACACTACAGTTTCTAATATTGCAAAATATATTTCTCGAGTTATAACGCCCCATCGACCACGATATTTTACGTGAGCGTTCGGTTGGATATAATGAATTAAAGAAAAGCAACAAACTCTACAGATAATGTATATTTTAAAATAAAAAATAAAGTTTAAAAGGGTAATATTTTATGATGCTATAAAAACGGAATAACCTCAGCTAATCAAACTTACGAGTCATTAAATTATGAAGCATCCTTTGATATTACAATTTCCAGAACTTCCATATTGATATATTACACGTTAAAATGTTATTAGAACTCAAACGTTTCCCATTCAGTTGCGGCAAATTGCAGTTTCTTAATATAAAATACAAATGGCGACACCTGTTCATTGATGTGCATTTCCGTCATGTGCCTCTTGGATCGCCACGTGAAAGACAGAAAGATCGCCAGATGCCAGGGTGTCAGAAGCCTGGATGCCCGCAGTGAGCGAGCCAGAGATGTCAGAATAGGACCTTTTCTTCAACGGCGCCGCCATCTTGAGAATTGCGGCGCCGACGACACCGTCTAGCGGCTTAGAAAAACAAATACCGGCTAGTTCTGGCAGCACAGCTATCTGGGTAGGCAACAGTGTGGGTATGGGGGGAACTTGGCTAGACTTGACTATGGTGGGCTGCAATAACTTGGTTGGAGCTTGTCCGGTTAAATCCAGCTGGCTACTCCCAGGCCATCACCTTGCCTCCTCGAGAGAACGAGGACGAAGACGGTAGGGTGTTTCGATTGAGTTTCCACAGCGAAGTATACATGAACAGTTTAATGTAGTCTATGCAGGTAAGCTCTCGACATTTGATAGCTCCATCTTGAGTGGAGGCATGTAGACTTTTTCATACCTTTCACATACCATGGGGCTTGCAGTGATAACCTAATTGGACCACCTACACCGGGAATTAAAATCGGTCCTCTTGTCGTAGACGAAGTGGTCGTGAGCTTAAACGTGACGTTGATTCTGATACGAATCTCTCGCGATTCAAGCTCGCAACCGACTGACTTCATAAATAAGGATTCTTGGGGAAAATGCGAAGCTCGATAACATTGCAACCACATTCGCGCTTCAGCTTCTTGTGCTCATGGCACACCTGCTGCTATTGTTCTTATGCTTTTTAAAATTATTTACCCATCGACCACGCAGTGGTAGCCAGACAACAGTAGATTTTCGGAAATTACAGCACGGTAAAAAGGAGCACTCGGAACTAACTCATGCACGTCGTCCGTTTTTAAGCCTTTTCGACCATACCCTTGGCGGTTGCATACCCTGTGTCAGCGGGCAATCCAAAACTGCACCAGGTCGAGGGTACGTCAGTTACTGGCTGGTTTGAGGTTATGCGAAAAAGATCTATACAACACAGCTGCTATTTTTTTTTGCGCTCGTTTTACTGTGCGTCGGTACACATGCCTGACGCGATCAAAATAAAATAGACGCCATGAAAGGGATTCAGCCATTTGGAATTCCGCCACGTATGCGAAAGCATTTGAGGTTTTTAAAACTCGCAATAATCATTTTCGCAATCAAACTATGCCTGTCGGAATGGTTCGACTATATTTTGTTTCAAAAACCACCTCGGTGGCTCTTAAGCGGTAATGATACTAACCACTGATCTCCACTAGAGGGGGCTGGATGGCGCATTGAGCAAACAGGTATGAAGCCACCGGAAGTAAGTGGCTTGTCCCGGAAGTGAGCGCTTGGCAGGCTTTGTAACCCTTCCGAGTGCTGGTTGGAAAAGCGTCGAGGGCGTTGGATTTTCGCTTGTTCCCTCAAGGGAGCTTGCTTGTTGCGCAGTAAGAGCGCACGTAGATCCGAGAAGTATCAGGGGAAGCCATTCAATGTGAACATTTTGAGATTCTAGTGGATCAAGTGGGAATGTGTCCCAAGTTCAAATGCATTATTCCCGGGATTCAATCCACAACGGGAATATTTACGCCCAATCAAAGACACAAGAACGCATGGACCAAAATACCGACCGAATGCACTAGGAAGCCCAGCGCACGCCCGACTTCCGGGACAAGCATCGAACTTCCGGTGGCTTCACTTGCGCCAGGCTTGGAGAGCAGCTAAGCGCCATCCAGCCCCCTATAGTAGAGATCAGTGATACTAACACACAACACAAAATATTAAAACGCCTCAGTATCTCTGAGCCAACGCGCTCCACGCGCTCCCACCGAGGTGCCCGCAGTCTGACGGAGGCCAATCTTAAATTTTGGTTGCACGTCAAAAGATCTCCAGTTAAACAAAATAAACCCGCATTTTTTAATTTATCTTTTATCGGAGTCTGTGAAGTGATTTTTGATGGTTTGGCTTGTAAAACCCTAAGATCTAAATATTTGCTTTGCTTTACATTAGTGCGGAGCGCAGCCAACGCTACGGGCTGATGGAGCCACTGAAGCAGCGCCAAGAGCGTGAGGTCAAGCAGTTCGTTCTCTTTCTGTGCCTGTGCGGTCGGGCTAAACTAAAGCCGCTAGATAAGCTACGCTTCATACACATCTTGGTGCTTAAAATGATGGTTGTCAGTTATCGGAAGTTTTATTTGAAATCGCAGGAAACTCTTTCCTGTCCTCCACAAATGTTTAAACAGTTCGCTACAAAGCAAAGCAATATGACGTCAGCTTCCTAACACCAAAACTATTGCCGAGGAAGTCGCAATTTGGAGGGCGCTGCGAGCGCTGCAAGAAAGAAGACGTGGTTTCTAAAAGCTCCGTAGGAATTGGTCGCCCACTGCGGAAATCGCGGTCAAATAGAGTCATAAAGTTGCCCGGAAGCATATCGAGACCTCCGGACCTCGGTGAGCTGTGTCGCCCTACGTTCCTTTCCACCCTTAATTTTTGGAAAGACCTGCAAGAGCATCGCCTGATAGTTAGGCCTAACGAGGATTCGCCGAGCCATGCTGGCACGCAGCCGATGGAGGCAGCTGTGGTAGGGCACGTCGCTCTCCCGGCTGACCCCCAGCGCGCTGCGTCGCCCACGCCAACAACCATGTCGCAACTATTCCGTACCACGCCCTTGACAACACAAGCCAACATTCAAGGTGACATTCTACCCAGTGCTCTGAGTACTGGGGTGCTATGTTGCGCTTTTTGCACTCCCAGGAGACTAGGAAGAAGGAAGTGACGTCAACGAGTAGAGCAAATGCAGATTGGATGTTGACAGAAGAAAACAAAATCAACATCCAATCTGCATTTGCTGCGTTGTTGACGTCACTTCCCTCTCCCTAGTCTCCTGGAAGTGCAAAAAAGCGCAACATCGCCCCCCTGGCCACCCAACATACACGACTACAGACGGTGGTGACCCCATGGAACTCCAGGCCCCCAGCGGCTCTGGGAACACAGTGAAAAGGACCCATCAAGACCCCATGTTCCAGAAAGACTTGGAGAAACTGGAGGAACCAACAAAAAAGGTAAGGGCCACCCCAGGAAATCCCTCCAGTCCCTATCCCAGCCCTTCCCCCTCACAATCCTACCGTGTTCACATACGTCCCCTCACGCGACATGACATCACTTCGGTGCCAACGAAACGAATTCAACAAGTTATTGACCGCTGCCTTGGCACTACTGGTTACAAAGGCTACGCCGTGTACAAGTCGCCTAACTCAATCACCATACACCTGGCCTCCCTAACAGACGCACAAAAAATGTGCACATTGACAGCGATATTACTACCAGAACACCAACAACTGCCAGTACAGTCGTACTTTGCATAGGGACCTAACATCCAGAAATGCGTTATATACGACATTGACCCGGAAGACACCCCTGAAATCATATGTCATGAATTGACATCCCATTCGCATACCGTGCTCACTACCCGATTTATGGGAAAGAGTCGCACTTGCCTAGTGACGGTACAAGGCCCGGAGCGTTTTCCTGAGCGCTTCTTCTACTGGCCGCGTCCTGCACCACAAACCCTACCTCCCACGGACAATATTCTGCTATCGGTGCTATAAACAAGGTCACATGCAAGCATTCTGCCCCCAGCGTAATATCGACCCAGAACGGACTACACCAGAGGGACAACCGCGATACAGATGCGGCCTCTGTAAATCAGATGACCATGACATGACGGCCCCAAACTGTCCGATGAAACAGAGGGCCACAGCCCGGTTGCGTCAGACCGTGCGTACGATAGGGCAAGCGGTCCCCACTTACAATCGCTATCAGCTGCTTGATAACGCGTCGGAGGGACCACTGGAAGAAAATACATCCGGGTCACAGCAACCCCTATATTCGAGTGTACTCAAACGAAACAAACGTCCGCGAGGGCGGCCCCAACATGAAGCAGAAGCTCCACACCAGCCGGAGGATGACATCGACACCAAGATAGAGGCATTATCAAGAGAGCTCGAGCGCCTTCGGAGACACAAAGAGTTGGTAACCGCACGACGACAAAAAACAGGAGCAACGTTGCCTACATCGTCCGGCGAAATAAGTGCACAGACTACTGCACCACATCAATCACAAAAAGCCCCTCAAGTAGACTGGACAGCCATCCTAGAACGCCTCACTGAGATGACACGACTCATTGAGGACTGTTTGCACCATGTCTAAGCCCATGGTGCGTCCTTCACAAGACGGAATTATACAGTGGAACTGTAGGGGCCTTACCTCTAACATTGGAGCAATCAAAACGAAACTCCTGTACAACAACCTGCATGCATGGGCTTTTCTTCTCCAAGAGCACAATAAACTATGTAATTTATCCCAGTTAGTACCATCATCCATCTATCCCTGATCAGTGCGTAACCTCAACTATTTCAGCACCGGGAAAAGCAGCAGTATATGTATCGGCTAGAATACCACAAACGTCCATTGATCTTGGAAAATGGTGTAACTGTAACCAAGAAGCTGTCGGTGTGCTCACATGTCCTGTCAGGACACCTGTCATTCTTATATCATTCTACGCTAGACCACGGCGCACTAGAGTCAACCTGGGATGGATACGGCATCTCCGCTCAACGTATCCGGGGGTCCCTATCCTCGTGGGCGGAAACTTCAATGCTCCCCACAGGGAATGGGGATACCAGTACAACACCCGAAAAGGGGATCAAGTTAGGAATACCATAATAGACGCGGCATTCACACTATTCAACCAGCCGGGGGTATCAACCTGCATTGCATCAACGACCGCTAGGACCCATGCCCCCGACCTCACGTGGTGGATTGGCCCTGGAGTGCCACAATGGCGCGCGGAACCAGACACATGGGGCAGTGACCATATGCCAATAAAGATCGGCCTTCACAGTGCTTGCCTCAAAAAAATCCGACGTCGGGTGACGGTCACACACTGGGATAAGCTTCGGGAAGCATCGGCCACGATGATCCCTACTGCTCCTACGGAGCTCCTTCCAACTCTGCAACAGCTCCTTCGGGATTCGATCATCACTACGACGGTGGATGAAGACCAACCACAGCCAGACCTTACCCTTTTACAGATATGGGCAAAGCGCCGGCAGGTAGACGTGGCTGCGTCTAGGAACCCAACTACGCCGGGTGGTCGATCTGGTGTCAATCATCTTGCGGCTGAAGCGCGCCGGCACGAAAAACGGCTTTCCAGACAACGGTGGTACGAGTGCTGTGATAGTCTTGGGAACGGTACTGGAAACAAAGCTCTATGGCGCACATATCACTCCATGGAGCAAGGGGGCAAAACAGCCCGACCCAGCTGCGTGTGTTCGTCTCGCGCTGCAAACCACACCGAAAGATTTTGCAACTTATGCGGCTCGAACATTCTTCCCCAAATATGACCAGACTTCACCCATTCAATGCCCCGATATTGACGAGCCCGACTCCACCTCCCAGGCAGACATTTCTAGTTCTTTTAACATGGCTGAACTTATTGCGGCGATTGAAACTGCTAAGAAACGCACGACCCCCGGTCACGATGGTGTCCCTACTGAGGTGTTCCAAAACCTAAAAGGTCCGGCTCTTGACACACTTATAGAGGCAATCAACCAAGTATGGGAGACAGGAGATATCCCCTCTGACTGGAAATATTCCATTGTTGTCCCTATCCCGAAGCCAGGAAAGACACCCAACAATCTCCAAGCGTTACGACCGATTTCGCTTACACCAACAATTTGCAAGCTTGTAGAGAGGATGCTGGCCACACGAGTATCCTGGTGGCTCGAAAGATACGGAAAATATCACCCCGCACAAAGCGGCTTCCGACCGTACTTGGGGACTGAGGAAGGCCTGTCGATTCTAGCGGACGACATCATACAGGTGTCACCCCACAGTCAGGTTGTACGCACGGTGGTAGCTTTAGACATTGCCAAAGCGTACGACAATATTGATCACAGAGTCATAATGAGCAACCTTATAGAGCTGGGGCTTCCTCCGCGGGTCACACGATTTGTTTACTCCTTCCTTAGGAATCGAACATTTGCTATAACGCTTTAACGGACAGTGTATCTAGCGGGATACAAAATATTTGGGCCAACTGTAGCACCCTGACAATAAGGTTTCCCGCTGCTGGACAGTGCATCCCCGTAGATACAAAAGCCAAGCAGCCAACCGAAACCGAAACCAATTCCCTGGTTAGCATATTTCGTTCACCAGGGGGCTCTGAGAGAGCGCCAGAGACATCATGGCCGACCTGAACGTCGGCGGTTGTCAGGCAGGGGGGTAAAGGTGGGTGAGGAGGAGTGGCAAATCCCGTGCGCCGACATCCTGGGTCCCGAGTGAACGATCGCAAAAGAGAGCGACAGAACATGAGAGAAAGAAAGCAACGTTGCCATGGTAAACACGGAGAGTGAAAACTCTCAGCAATATAAACAGTGATAATTTAACGTTGTAAACTAAATTCTGAGCTATTCTAACGCTTATAAAAAGCAATAAAGTCATTACGCTGCATTAACTTCCCTTCTGTCGAAATCTCGGAAATCTGGTGGTTGCGCAGTTTCGTATTCCTCAACCGCGCCCAGCCGCGCCCCACCAGCGAAGCCGGGTAAATGGTTTAGTTTAGCGTTAACGCGAGGCCGTACATCTGCGCGCTATGCAAAAAGAAACCTTCGAAAAGAACGCGAGTATCTTTCCACCGGTAAGTTCGTGGATTGTTGAAGTTCACGAAACTGCTCTGATGATGTAACCGATGTAACCGTGTTTGGGACCCAGAGGGTCTGCCTGCATGGTGCGCCGCTTGCGGCAGCCAGAATGTATGGGAAAATGGCGGACCTTTTCCTCTAGATTTAGTATATGATCTCTATGTTGTCAGGACAGTACCAATTTGTCTCTGAAAGTGTTGTACAAGTTTGTTTCTTCCCGGTTTATGCACGTTTCGTACAGACAATGCGGCATAGAACTGATTCGTACTGTTTTGGACGGGAATAGCCACCCGTGGATGGGTCTGACGTGCAAGCGTTTCCCTACGTATTTCGTGGGATACAGCGTCTGATTGGGGACTCGTCAGTGGCCACCATACCGGGCGTGGTTTTTAGGGGAAACATTCACTTTTCTTACACGATCAATAATATTTACGTTCAGTTTTCTAACGCAATCAATAATATTTACGTCTGTCTTTTGCTCCTAAAGGCTACGACGTCTACTGCCATGCAGTTCAATGCATCACGGTTCTACGGAAGAAGGCCGAAGGAAAATGTTACTTTGGTTCCTGCAAGTGGGAATTTGTCCGACATCGGTTCATCAGACGACAGCCTTTCGGACGATGATAATGACCCAGATTACATTCCACCAGTTGTTGGGACGACGAGTGTACTCAACACCGTTACTTCAATTCCTGATGACAGCGATTCCTGTAGCGAGGAAACTGACGATGTGAGCGCGCGACTGACACCCTGCTCAAGTGCGAAGAAGGGAAAGCCATCACTGTTCCAATGGAAGGAAGAGCACCTCGACAACTTTACCAAGATGCCAGACGACTTCGAGGAACCAGATGCCTTGGCATCCCCCCTTACGTACTTAAAAAATTTTTTTATGAAGACCTCATCAGGATGATCACATCTGAAACAAATCTCTACTCTGTACGGCAACTAGGAGTTTCTATTGGTAAAACTCATGAAGAACGTGAGCAGTTTCTCGGCATCCTACTTCTCATGGGTGTAGTAACCATGCCTGCATTTTCGGACTATTGGAGTGAAGAGTTTCGCTATCCCATGATAACGGACACCATGCCCCTCAACAGATTCAAGAAACTCAGGCGTCCGGTTCATTTCGTGTCAGAAGAAGATGCATCCGACAAATACGCCAAAATCCGACCAGTGCTGAACAGAATACAAAAGAACTGCTCCAGCATTCAGCAAGAGCATCAGCAGTCAATTGATGAAATGATTGTGCCCTACAAAGGAACCCGCGCTGGTAAGCTCCGCCAATACATAAGGAATAAACCCCACAAGTGGGGTTTCAAGCTTTTCGCCCGTGCTGGCGTTTCAGGAATGGTACATGATATTTTGCCCTATGCTGGATCGGATACATTTTTTGCCACCACATTCACGGAAGAAGAGGAGGCCCTCGGACTAGGAGCAAAAGTTGTTGTTGCTTTATGTAAAACCCTAGAGTGTGGTCTACTTTAACAACTTCTTCTGTAGCCTGGAGCTGCTAAGGTACTTGAAGCAAAAGAAAGGGATACGAGCCCTTGGGACCATTCGATCTCAGAGGCTGCGGAACTGCATTCTAAAGGACGACAAGACTCTAAAAAATGAAGGGCGAGGATCATATGACTTTCGGTCAGACAGGGACAGTGGGATCACTGTTGTGAAATGGTTGGACACAAAGCCTGTACATATTGCGTCCACATCGACAGCTGTAGAGCCTCTTGGAAATGTGAAGAGGTATGTGAAGGACGAAAAAAAGAAAATGGCTGTTCCAGCGCCCCGAGTGATTCTGGAGTATAACACACACATGGGCGGCGTAGACCTTGCCGATATGCTGGTGGAGTTGTACCGAACACCTCTAAGGTCGAGACGCTACTACCTAAGACTGTTCGGCCAGCTACTTGACATTTGCGTCAACAATGCATGGTTACTATCCCGACGGGATGCCGAGTTGCATGGAGCGTCGCAGACAATGCCCCTGAAGGACTTCAGGGCAATAGTGGCGAAGGGGCTTCTCTCTGCAAATAAAAGGAAGAGGGGTCGGCCATCATCAGACAGCCAGCCATCAAAACGAATCCGTCGACCAAAAGTGCCAAGGCCGCAAAACGACATTCGCTTTGACGGAGTTGGCCACTGGCAAGACTTCGCCCCCAAAGGGAGGTGCCGATATTGCCCAGACGGCCAGACAAGAATTATCTGCGTGAAGTGCGGCGTGCTGCTGTGCTTCGTTGAAAAGAGGAGCTGTTTCCGAGCATTCCACTCCAAGTAGATGTGGATGCCCACAGTGGACAGTGTATCCAGGGAGATACAGACGTGAAATTTGGCAACAAATTAATTGTTTGAATTGTTCAATGTGTTTTCTGACTCTTTAGTGCTTTGCAATTATAACAAATAATCTTACTCATTTTTCTTGCTTTGATTTTATACCTTGACCATTGAAGGGTGTGATGGACAACAAGAAGGATGCTTTACGTCCAATAGGGGGGTCCCCCAAGGCTCCGTCTTGGCTCCGCTTCTTTTTAACATTGCACTCATACCTCTGGCATGGCAACTCCATCGGGTACTGGACGTCAAATTTCTCGTCTATGCTGACAACGTCACATTATGGACAACTCACAAGGACCTCTCTAGGCAAGCCAAGCAAATTCAAGAAGCCCTTGACATTTTTCTGAATTATTCACAACGAGCCGGGCTGGAAATTTCTTCGCAAAAATCTAGCTAAGTTGTGGTAGCAAACAAGGCGGGACGTAAGAAATTTACCCAGGCCCCCTTTCAACTCAGGCTGGGTGCTATAACAATACCTGAGACTACGAATGTCCGGATATTGGGCCTGGATATACACCAGTCAGGAAGTGAAACTCAATGACTCCGAAAGATTAAGCAAACATCTGCCACCACTCTCCATCTCATTCGACACATAGTACCGAAAGCGGGTGGTGCCCGTACAGACATCGCTCGACGGCTGGTGCGTGCCATCTTGCAACCGCGAATAATTTACCAAGCGCAATTCCATCGACTCACGGTGGCACAGTGGTCACAATTGGAAACCATTAATCGTGACGCAAGGCGCGCCATCACGGCGCTACCTCGCATTACTCCAATTCCAACCCTACAAGAACACGCGAGGCTGAACACAATCACGGAACTCATCTCTCAGCGAGAACAGGCAAGGGAAATTAAAAAAAAAAACTGTTTGTACCAGCGGTTGCTGCGCTACATGCGCATTTTCAACGTGGCCCCCCGCTGAACGTGCAGTCGGAGCCGATACCTCCATGGAAATTCACCCACATTACCACCAACAAACCGACCAAGTTACGACGTCGCGATCAGGGGGGCACACCCTCCCAAAGTCCCTGCCCCGAAACCCAACATGACGACCACTGTCAAGTTTACACGGATGCAGCGATCTTCCCAGACGGTGGCCGAGTCTCATTCCTCAGCTCCACACATACATGCATCCAGGGGCATCAGCGATATATATCTCAGGAAGCCGACCCACTTGTCATGGAACTACAGGCCATTCACGACGCCATACAAGCAGTGACCACCAAGCTGCCGACAATCCGCCATCTTCACATTTTTACAGATTCCTTAGCGGCAATTCGAGAGCTCAAAAAGGTTTCCAAAGCAATGGAACTGTGTCAAAGGATACACACCCTTCACCGCAATACCTCAACCTGCATCAAGGTGTACTGGATTCAAGGTCATGCCACGAACCAATACAACCTTGCAGCTGATCAACAGGCACACTTTCCATCTGATCCCGATCTCCCTTCCCTCCCCATCCCGTCTAAACCCCTTTCCCTACTCCACGCCCGTAAACACTCTCTCCGGCAGGACACGCGCGCTCTTATCCCCCCGTGTGTCTGCTCCCTCCCCCGCCATCTCACCAAGGTGGAGGAAGTTGTGCTTCGGAGACTGCGGGCTGGGGTGGCCCTTACACCGGCTGTAACCTGCACATGGAGCTCTCCACCCGGCACACGACGGGCGACATGCCCCAAGTGTCCCCTATAGACGCGACGGAAGCGGATGTGCGTCACCTTATATGGACTTGTCCTGGCCTACAGACTGAGCGCACTCGCCTACTTATAGCTGCAGGTCTCCAACACAGTGCACCCACCAGCTACCATAAGTGGCTGCATGACAACAACTATCACAAGACATTGCTTCAATTCATCCGTACCACAGGCCTTGTAGCATACATATAAGACATTTATGCCTAAAGGCAACCCCCTACGTAAAAAAAAAAGTCGCAATTTTGAATTATGTCGATCGGCAGTTGACTTCGATTTGTACTAACCACCAAGATGGCGGTACCCCCAACAATATCGGTGAAAAGAGTGCGGATACTCTAAGTGTAGCTTATTTGGTTTAGCTTACAGGCTAAACCTAAAGCCCCTTCATGTTTCAAAAGAAGCGCAAGGTGCGTCGATGACGAGGCACGTGCATCGTGCAGCCCTTGGGAAGATCATGGCGGCACAGCGCAGCACTGATAGAGTGTACAACAGGGTGATTGAAGGGAAGGCCAGGCTCGTTAAATCGACCGCAAACTTCGGCGCTACGACTTTCGCAAAGTCGTAGCGCGAAACCGTAGCGCGATAGCGCTACGACTTTAGCAAAGTCGGAGCGCTATCGCGCTACGACTTTGTGCAGCGTTGCCCACAGATGGTGCATTTTTTTTCTAAAATTTGCTAAGAGCGAACGTACCTGAGGAAAAAGAAAAGAAAGAAAAAGGCTTAGCTCCTATGGAAACACAGCGAAGCCACCGGTCTTCAAACAACACGGCGCCGTTTCGCACGGGAGACAAGAGATGGCGCAAGCGGTCGCGAGGCCAACTGCCCCCAACGAACGAGCATACGACGCCGAGAGCCGGCGTCTTTAGCAGACATTAAGGAACTGTAGTTCCTTGTTGTTACCGCGCCTGTTTTTGTTTCTGCCACTGTCGGCGCCTGCGGAACGCGCGCCGCTTTTGAGTCGAAAACATCGTCTGCTAAAGACGCCGGCTCTCGGCGCCGTATGCTCGTTCGTTGGCGGCGTTCGTTGCGCCGTCTCTTGTCTCCCGTGCGAAACGGCGCCGTGTTGTTTGGAAACCGGTGGCGTCGCTGCGTTTCCATAGGAGCCAGAGCCGTTTATCGAGAGAGTTTTGCCATACATTGGTTTGAATAGGCGAGCATCTCGGGGCCAACCACAGGCCGCGAAACAGCCCCTAACGGTGGTCGTGAGCTCTAAATTTGTGACACGACAAATTCAAGCCGTTTTAGCGTCGCTAGAGTTAAAAGGTGTAACTCTCAGTGACTGAAAACTTTGTGCGTGCGAGGTTTTCGTCACGCCAATATTCAGTGTAGAATAAACGAACGTGCGCTCCAAACCAGGGCCAACTTGCTACAAACAGCGTCTCAGACCGTGGTCTCAGCTGAGACGGGGAAAGAAAGCACTGCCAAAGCCAGCGCACGAGCCGAGCGGGACACCGCGTTTCCAGACGCTCGCGCGCCCCACCCTTTGCACTGTTTTCTTTCCGCGAGTCACAGGACGCTGTTCTAACAAGCCAACATCAGCAGTGCAGAGAAAGGCATGGGCGCGAGCGCGTGGCTTTGGAAAGTGGCTCCTATGCACGAGCTCTCGTACAAACAAAAGAGTTTTGCTGAGCTATAGTTCAGGCGCCTGTACCTTTGTCTTCACTGCCGACATTTGTGAGATGGAGCAGAGAGGCCGAGATTGAACGCCTCTACTTCACGCTTCGAATGTCGTTTGCAATATTGTGACGTTGCGGTCTCCTGATTGGTTGACGCTGTGTCACAAATTTAGTTTACACTCTAAGCGCGGGGGGAATATTCGGCGCTGGCGGCGGCCTTTGCTCCGCCTATTGGCCAAACCCTCCCAATACACGGCTCTGATAGGAGCTAAGCCGTTTTCTTTCTTTACTTTTTCCTCAGGTAAGTTCGCTCTTTGCAAATTTAAAAAAAAAAAGAAAAAAAAAGCACCATATGTGGGCAACGCTGCACAAAGTCGTAGCACGATAGGTTAAGAAACCGAATTTTGCGGTCGTTTTAAAGAGCCTGGCGTCTCCTTGAATCACCCTGCGAGTGGGACGAGCTATTAGCGGCGAGATGTTTTGGTAGCGCCCTCATTTGGTTTCCTTTCGTGACGCCATTAGTTTGCGAACAATAAATTAGATGGTGTTTGTAATTAGCATTGTGGAACCCTGAAATCATTCTGCTTTGAAACCGACACTACCAACACCGCCAAGATTGAAGTTCTTCCATTCCTCTTATTCCCGTCGATGAGAAATCCTTTGCTGACGTCCTAGTCAGCATTCAGCTAATCGTGGAAGGCCGAGCACAGCGACGCTTTCGATCGCGCACGTCGCCAATAGGCGCCGCTCATGCTTTCAGTTGTGACCAACGTCACTGAAATTGGTTGTGACACAAAATGTGGAAAGCGATCAGGTGGAACCTAAA